GTGGAGATTTTAGACCCTGCCCAACATTATAGGGAAATATTGCAGAATCTATTTGACACCAAGGGCTCAGATTTTGATGATGCATTTATAGATATCTTTATTTCTTTTCTTGCCTTTTTCATGTGCTGAATGATATAACACTCTACATTTATGTAGTTGTAAGGTGGTGTCTATTCTTAGGCAGTTATGTTCATGGTGTCTATTCTTGGGCAGTTATGTTCGTCTTGGGGGCGTCCGAAGTTATAGAGTGTTTTTTGCTTTTCTACTCGAGAAAAGGGATTGCCTTTTTCAGTTGTTGCTTTAGGAGTTGTCGCACATCTTAGTTGGTTCTCTCAGTATGAGCATTCAACTTCTGCTAAGGTGGTGTCGTTAAAGTCTGGGAATGGGCTGTGGCCCTCGGAGAAACACAATCTGTATTCTTGATAAAATACGAACTAATGAGTTAATGCCAATTGAGTATCCTTTAGCGACTTGTGATGTTCGATCGTGTTGGGACCTTATTGACAGTATGGAAAATATATTTTTGAAACTTCACTGTGTAGAGGAGTATTATGGTATTTGCTTGTACCTTTTTGTGTTATTTTAGTGAGGCTAGATTTGGAGGGGTACTATAAGGGTACTTTTTGAAGGGTCTTTGTTTGTATTTTCTTTGTACCTTTTTATGCTACTAGAAAGTTGCACGTGCTGTGCACGTGTTTTTTAATTATTTGATGATGAAATTTTAATCAAAATATAGAAAACAACATTGGGAGAAATTATAAAATTAAAGGCAATGATAATGTTTCCATAGAATGATAGAAAATAATACATGGAGAAAAAATGCAAGTTTAAAATGGAAAATAAAACACTTAATTCTTCCCCTTTTTAATGTTTTTCAATAGTGATATCTTCTTGGGAGTTGATTTTTTCTTCAAATACATCTTCTTCCTCATGATGCTAATGGTGATATCATCACCATCACTTGAAATAACAATGTCATCATCTTCTTTGATATAACTCTTTCTCAATGTTTTTCCTTTATTTGCATCAATTTGGGAAGTCGAATGAGAACTTGAGAAAGTAGCAACGTGGATGGGCTTTCCACTGTTAATTTGTGAGTTTGTGAGTGATGAGTCTTCTCTAACAGTTTTTTTCCCGTCTTGTTCAGCTTTTTCAATTGCATCAGCTACTAAGTTGAGACTTCGTTCCATTTTGTTATTTTTTACTGTAGTTAAGAAGCGGAATAGAGTTGGTGATTGCAAACTCAGTCCTCTATAGTAAGTTGACTCATTTTCTCCATGGATATGCATAATAAATAAATAAATTGTAAGTGCTATAATATTCATTATATTATTATTATAATTATAAAAACATTATTGTGAACAAATGAATGATAATTTACCCCATTGATTGATTGAATGTATTGATAAACTTCACAACCAACATAAACGCTTGCAGCATCTCCAAACAACGTTACAAATACGCTTCCATTGTCACTCACGACTTGTAGAAAAAAAAATTCATAGGAAATAACTTCCTCTTGTTTCTCCTTGTAAGACACAATCCTTTATTCCTTGATATAGTTCCGATCTCATGTTCGTTTGGTTTTGTCGATAGTAGTCTAACCTTGTTGTCTCCAATTTTATGTACATGTCAACTGCATATTGTTGTAATAATCTCCCCACAAAAAAGCAATATAGAATGCCTTCGAGAGCGAATTTGCAACCTGTAACAACTGTATTCCCTGCAAGATACCTTTTTATCATCTTCTTTGCACACAACTGAACTTAAGGAATATAATTTTATAGGCAAAATTGCATATTAATACACTACCTTTCATGTTTTTGCAATTTAATCACCACTTTTACAATTTTGCAAATTCATCACCACCTTTACTATTTTTTGCAAATCGATACATGAATGACGGTTCCGTTAACGAAATCTAACGGAAATCTGACATGGCATTGACGTGGCTCAATGCCATGTCAGATTTTCGTTAACGGAACCGTCATTCATGTATCGATTTGCAAACAATAGTAAAGGTGGTGATTAATTTGCAAAATTGTAAAAGTGGTGATTAAATTGCAAAAACATGAAAGGTGGTGTATTAATATGCAATTTTGTCAATTTTATAAGGTATAAATATATAAATTATACTGAATAACTTCATTGTAACATGTGAGTTTACATACCTTGTTGCTCTGTAGAAATAATGTCATGTGCTGAACAAACATTTGGCTCAGCGTAATGATCAGTAACATGTACCGTTGGATATATGCCTGAAATAGAAAATTCTAGAAACTCTATTACAACAAATGAGAATTAGTAAAACACTTATTCATATTATATTTTAAAATTATGCATATAATGAGAATTAGTAAAACACTTATTCATACTATAAGGGTACTTTTTGAAGGGTCTTTGTTTGTATTTTCTTTGTACCTTTTTATGCTACTAGAAAGTTGCACGTGCTATGCACGTGTTTTTTAATTATTTGATGATGAATTTTAATCAAAATATAGAAAACAACATGGGGAGAAATTATAAAATTGAAGGCAATGATAATGTTTCCATAGAATGATAGAAAATAATACATGGAGAAAATGCAAGTTTAAAATGGAAAATAAAACACTTAATTCTTCTCCTTTTTAATGTTTTTCAACAGTGATATCTTCTTGGGAGTTGATTTTTTCTTCAAATACATCTTCTTCCTCATGATGCTAATGGTGATATCATCACCATCACTTGAAATAACAATGTCATCATCTTCTTTGATATAACTCTTTCTCAATATTTTCCCTTTATTAGCATCAATTTTGGAAGTCGAATGAGAACTTGAGAAAGTAGCAACGTGGATGGGCTTTCCACTGTTAATTTGTGAGTTTGTGAGTGATGAGTCTTCTCTAACAGTTTTTTTCCCGTCTTTTTCAGCTTTTTCAATTGCATCAGCTACTAAGTTGAGACTTCGTTCCATTTTGTTATTTTTTACTGTAGTTAAGAAGCGGAATAGAGTTAGTGATTGGAAACTCAGTCCTCTATAGTAAGTTGACTCATTTTCTCCATGGATATGCATAATAAATAAATAAATTGTAAGTGCTATAATATTTATTATATTATTATTATAATTATAAAAACATTATTGTGAACAAATGAATGATAATTTACCCCATTGATTGATTGAATGTATTGATAAACTTCACAACCAACATAAACGCTTGCAGCATCTCCAAACAACGTTACAAATAAGCTTCCATTGTCACTCAGACTTGTAGAAAAAAAAATTCATAGGAAATAACTTCCTCTTGTTTCTCCTTGTAAGACACAATCCTTTATTCCTTGATATAGTTCCGATCTCATGTTCGTTTGATTTTGTCGATAGTAGTCTAACCTTGTTGTCTCCAATTTTATGTACATGTCAACTGCATATTGTTGTAATAATCTCCCCACAAAAAGCAATATAGAATGCCTTCGAGAGCGAATTTGCAACCTGTAACAACTGTATTCCCTACAAGATACCTTTTTATCATCTTCTTTGCACACAACTGAACTTAAGGAATATAATTTTATAAGGTATAAATATATAAATTATACTGAATAACTTCATTGTAACATGTGAGTTTACATACCTTGTTGCTCTGTAGAAATAATGTCATGTGCTGAACAAACATTTGGCTCAGCGTAATGATCAGTAACATGTACCGTTGGATATATGCCTGAAATAGAAAATTCTAGAAACTCTATTACAACAAATGAGAATTAGTAAAACACTTATTCATATTATTATTTAAATACTTTTAAAATTATGCATATAATGGGGCGAAATAATTAAAGTAGCATTGTTATATAAGAAAATTGATTGGCTTTGAGGAAAAACGTACCTGTTTGAAGTTGACAATTATCTGGTAGTATTTTTCTGATATTTTTATGCCACCTTGAATCACCCATTGGAAAAAGAAGAGAATATTGCAATGGGTCATAACATCCAAAGTAGTGTTTTATTCTGTGTCTATATCCTGAATGCGCATGGACGATAATGTCACGGTCAAATGGTATGTCATTGTTATTTCCTTCTACCCATGTTGCAGCTTCTTGATCCGCTGTTGGAGAATTATAAACACGTTGATCTAGTTTCACATCTTTTGCAGTATGAAGGTGGATATCATCTATCGAAGGGATATCTTTCAATCTTCTGAAGATCCTCGCATAAGGATTGATCTCTAAAATATCCATGACTTTCTTCACCATAGATTCGCTTAATGATGAATCTTCGAAAATCCTCGTTTTGTTTTCCACGTCATTTTTCGTCTCAACAAAATATAACTGAAAATAACCAGGACTCCTTTCATTTGGTTAAGCCCTGAAACATCATGGTAAACCATTCCTTGTGCACGGAAGGTATAAACTCCTCGTCTTGCAGAAGCTAGATCTTTATCTAACTTTACACGAAATGATGTGAAGGAGAAAATGCTATGTAGTAGGCGAATAGATTTACGAAATGCATTCGACTCTTCAGAATCTGAAGTGAACAATTCATAAAGTTCATCCGGGACATCAATGGGTGCAATTTTAACTTTTCCCTTGTCACTACAAAAAAAGTCAAAGGCTCGTACTGAAATCTAGCAGCATCACAATAACTGCACTTTCGAACTTTCTTCCATTCATGTGTTTGTGGGCTACTATTTAGACTCGTGTCAATTGAACCTAGGATAGTGTAAAAAAACAGAGTTCTAGAAAAATTATTCAATAATGTAACTGCGCAAAATATATTAAATATTGTTCAGTACCTTCGGGCTCATTCATTGTTATTTGAGCTCTCAAAACCACTTATCTTGTGGATTCCTTAGCTTGTTCCTGCTTCTAACTTTATCAATATTGTGTTTCACAGAATCAAAGTCAGCATATTTTCTTTTCATCTTTTCAAGATTTCTTTGTCGATAAACATCTTTGGCTATAATATGAAAATAAGAAGAGTATGGTATATGTTTACCACACACCACACACTTATTTATAATAAACAAATAGACATATTCTTCATATTATATTGTTTGGAATTTAAAGAAAAAATTATATTAAATATGATTTACCTGAAGAAGTACTTGGCATAGATGAACGTCCATACATTTCAATTTGTTTAGTGGATCCTGAAACGAAAAAACAATTTTATAACTACATCGCTGGTTGATACAAATGCTGCAAGACAAAGCTTTGTTGATGAAAATTCCTTAATACTTATTGTTTATGCGCAAATACATTTAATATTTACAATATTAATTACAAAATATAAGAAATAAAGCTTTTGAAACTAACAAAAAACAATTCGAAAAAACAAAAAGCAGTGAATTTAATCAAATAAAAAATCCAATAAACATATGGAATTTAATTTCAAAAGTGAAAAATTGGTGAGTTCAACAAACTTCTGCTTCAAAAATCACAACAATGGCTAACTCAGACACAGATAGAGGGATTTAACCCCATTTTTGGGTTGACTGCGCAAAACAAAGAAGAAGAAAAAAAAAAGAAAGAAAAAGATAGAATCTCTCCTTCGTCTCCTCTTAATGATTTACTTGAGTTTTCATGCTCTTATCATTTTCCTCTTCCATAAGTAGAAAAATTTAAAACTTCCCCTACGCTATTTTCCCAGAAACTTAAATTTAAAACTAAATCAAAGCCAAGTTTTTCTACAAATAATGTTTTAGAACTTACTATCTAATCAAAACCAAGTTTTTCATTCTATGCTTTTGTGTGTTTTATTTAGGCGTATAAAAATTTGGGATAATTACAGTGAAAACAAACATTATGAAAAATGACAGTGAAGAAAAACTTACGGGAATTGAGGAGGCTGAGATTGCAGAACTTTAGTCTGGAGCTAATTCACTGTCTTGCGGTGGCGTAATATGAAAAGAACCGTGCCGGTTTCATGGTCGCGTAATATGAAAAGAACCGTGCCGGTTTCATGGTCGATGGACAGAGTTCGCGTAAAGGATATGATCAGATAGATATAAAATTAATAAGAATAAAAATGAAATTAAAAATTACGGGGAACAGAAAAGGGAAGAGTTTAAGAAAAATTAGAAATGATAGTGAATGGTGAATTCTATCAGCTTTTCAAAATGATTTATTCTCTGTCTTGCAAAATTCTACCAACATTCAACCGTCAGTCTTCGTCTTGTATTAATTTTTTAAAATGATAGTTCCCCACATTTAATTAAAAAGTTAATGCACAATGAAGTTGGAAAACTGATTTATTTTGTTGGCTTTGCACTATAAGAATTGTGCATATTTGTATATGCAAAATTGTATTTATGAAGTTTAAAAAATATTTTAAAACATTTGTGTAGATAAAATATTATTTATATTTATATACATAATAAGCAGGGAAATAGATAAAACATGCAAAATCTTAGTTATGTAGTTTTGATGACAAAACATTAATAAACAAATTAAAAACAGAAATCTTATTTATTCAGTTATGTAATTGTGCCAATACATTCATTTAAAGAATTGGATACAATCAATCAATTGTTTTAATAGATTAATATTAGAAAAAATTATTAATTATAAAATACACAAGGAATATTAAAAAAAGAACTGAGTATTATGTTATCACATTCATGATAAAAACATCACATTAAATCATTTTAATTAAAATTTAAATTGTTTATTTTGTTGGTTTTGCACTATAAGAATTATGCATATTTGTATATGCAAAATCGTATTTATGAAGTTTAAAAAAATATTTTAAAACATTTGTGTAGATAAAACATCATTTATATTTATATACATAAAAAGCAGGAAAATAGATAAAACATGCAAAATCTTATTTATGTAGTTGTGATGACAATACATTCATTAAAAAAAAAAAGATAGAAATATTATTTATTTAGTTATGTAATTGTGCCAATACATTCATTTAAAGAATTGGATACAAATCAATATTTTTAAAAGATTAACATTAGAAAAAAAAAGTTATTAATTATAAAATACAAAAGGAATATTAAAAAAAAATTAAGTATTATGTCATCAAATTCATGATGAAAACATCACACTAAATCATTCTGATTAGAATTTAAATTCTTATTTGAAACAATTGTAATTGTTTATATCATAAGCAGTAAATGTATTTTAGAATATAAGACATAATAATATTGGTTGTAACATTATTTTTTGGAAATAACATTATTTTCTATTGTGGGGTAGTAGTGATGAGATAGTAATGAAGTTATAATATTACATTTATGTCCTTAAAAGGTAAATCTCTAGAGGGTAATATGGGCATTTCAAAATTTTCAAGAAATGACTTGTCCTTTTAGGATAGTTATAGATTTCAGTTAAATTTCATTTTATTTCCAATGGCTCAAGGTAAAAGTCGTTTTTTTTTTATCATGCATTACAAGACCATAATAGCAAAATAATTATATACTAAAATTAATATTCAGTCAGTAACATACTTTTGCAGCCTAACATATAACTTAATTATAAATTAATTATGACAAAATTTGGGCCGGTTACATATAAAAGTTTGTATTTACATGAAATAGATACTAAAATCCCGCCAAAAAATTGTAAAACTACTAAAATTAGTATGTTTTTTAAAGAAAATTTGAGAAAATTCCGCATCTAGAAAATTAATTATTCAATTTATGGTATAAAGTTGACAAAATTAATAAATCTGATTTTGGTATAAAGTGGGTGATCTTATTTGAGGTACCTGATAGTCATTTTTATTTTTTGGTAGGAAATGTATTGTTATTAATAAATATATGAATATGAATTTATGGTATAAAGTGAGAGATTTTATTTTGGTATGAATTGTCCGAATTTAAATGATATAAATTTTAATTGGTATGGATAGAAGTGTATTTGGAGATTTTGAAATAAAATAAGTGGTATAAATTTATTTGGTATGAGTATGAAATACGAATTTTAAGTTGATTTGTTATAAAATCAAGGTGATATGATTCTCTAATTTTCGCATCTTTTCATAATTACTTGCTATAAGATATTGATACTAATTCGACAGGTTGGCATGTATTTCACTTGAAAATAAGAAAGATCTTTGAACAAATATTGGTAATAAAATTTAAAATTTGTAATTTAATTCTTGAGAATTAATTGATAAATTTGAACGATAAGCTAACCAACAATAAATCTATATATATATATATATAATGTATAAGAGAATTTAATGTGTAGTCCAAATTTGGGTTCCAAATTTAAATGTAAAAAAATTAATTACTTATAATTTACGAGTCAATATTGATTTAGACATAAATAGAATAGTCAATTATTTATAGTTTAATAAATTACGCAACTAGTTAAATTATTTGATTTGGACAGTTTATACAAAAATAAATTCAATATAAGTTTTATAATATACTTATTATTCACATAAATTTTTAAATAAATGACAAAATTTTACCAAAATAATTATTTTATGGAATACATTGTAGTTAAATCGAATGTTTGAATAAATTTTTTAAACTGACATGTATTTTGAAACGAATATAACGTAATTTATTATCATTTACGTCTCCTGTACGAGTTGTGTACTAATTTTAAATAGACATGTTTTTTTATGTAATCTTACACGACTTAAACTTCATATAACATTTTAATAAATTAATATAGATAAGCTTTATTACATATTAATTCTATATTTTTAATTTATAATATTTAATTAACATTTTTAGTTTATAAATATTAATAAATATGTTTATGCGTGCATCGCAAGATATTATTAAAAAGGAGGAATAGAAAACAAAAAAATTGTATTATGCGGCAAAAACACACCTAAAACAGAAAGGATGGAGTCTATTTATTTATTAATATTATTATAAAGAGTTACGTTTTTTTTATATTANTTCATTTATGTAACTTTGCACAATTTAAATTTCATAAAACTTATTTGATAAATCAATATAGATAAACTTTATTGCATAATAATTATGTAGTTTAAATTTATAAATATTATTTAATAAGTAATTTAAATTTAGGAAAAGTCTACAATCCCGTCACGGAATGATTCTGAGAGGATTTTTAGCCATTAGATAAACATGTAACTTCCATGTATCTACAATAACTGTGTTAAAACCTTCCGGAATCATTTCGGGATTGTATCATTTTTCTTAAATTTAATGAATATTTTTTATCTGAGTAGATTCTTAAAAAAAGGAATAGAAAACCAAAAATCTGTATTCTGCGCAAAAATACACGTAAAACAGAAAGCCGAAAGGGATGAAGTCTATTTAATTATTAATATTATTATTATTGTTATTATAAAGAGTTATGTTTTTTTTATATATTAAACTAGGAGAAAAACAGCCGTGCACAGCACAGCTGGCCCACTACATGATTTTATAGTTTATTATATTGAGAATATTCAATATTTCTACTACATAATTTTGTAGATTATTAAATTTAAAATAATCAACACTTTTTCTTTTTGTTTTAAAACATAGATATTACACCAACATAATCATTATACAATGGGTTAATAAAGAGATTAAGAATTTGTATTACTATATTGTCTATCTAACAATTTCTAAATTTCTTTTCTCCCATAAATACCTTTCCAAGTAGCATAACGAACACCATTACAAGAAAAAAAGCTAAATCTATATATATATAATAAGAATTAACGTTTACCATAAATAGTTTTAAGGAAAAGTCAACTCACATTTATTATATACTATTTTTAGCAATCTTTTTTATTTTACATTTTAATTTTAATTCATTATCAAAAAATTGGATGGTTCCTAAATTAATGGGTTTTAGATGACGTATTATGTTCAAAAATTATA